GTTTCCTTTGGTTTAAGTTTTATACATTATTTCATTCGGTGATAATTGCGCACCATGGTCACTTTTTACCTGCCAGCATTAAATCCTTTAATTTAAAGGCTTATTGTTCTATTTTTAATAAAATTTAATTTAAAAAACATTATTTTGCCAATTATTTAATTTAATTCTAATTGAGGTATAAAAAATGGTTTTTAGTTATAAATAATAATTATTATTGAGGTATAAAGAAACTATTTATACATACTTTAGCATTATTTAATCAATTTAGTTCGAAGATTAATTTGCAAACAAAAAGACCTCCTTTCGTTAAGCAGTTATTTATAATTGATTTTTTAACAGTGGAAGAAAAAATAAAAATGATTTTGATTTATGGAGAAGCAGGCAGGAATCTTGATGATGCTGTTAATATCTACGCTCAGCGTTTTCCGGATAAAATTCGATCACGTACTTCATTTCGCCGTATAGTCAAGCAGTTTACTACAAACGGGAGTGTTTAACCGAAAAAAAGAGTTCTTCGAGCAACAGTCACAGGTGGAAATAATGAAATGTATTAGCAGCAACGGCCGCTAATCCTCATGCAAGCACACGAGAATTATCTAGAGATTTGGGAATGTCCCAGAGCAGTGTTAGCAGAATATTAAAACGAAATGCGAATTAATAAATGCGTTGAAGTCGAAGGCCACCATTTTGAGCACCTACTTTAATTAAAATTTAAAAAATAAATAAATAAATTTAAAACATAAAACCAAATATTTTTTTCAAAAATTATTGGAGAATCGTATAGGTACAAAAGAAAAATCGAACAAAATTGATTTTTTTTCATTACAGCGACATCTATTACAAATATGAAAAAATGGTTTAGACAAAATCTACCTATACGAGGTGTTCAAAAAATATCGGGAATTTTCCTTTTTAAAACAAATATTTATTTATTCGTCTACATTAATGTTGTCTCCTTCAAAATAGTCCCCATTGGATATTATGCACATGTGCCAGCTCTTCTTCCAATACTCGAAACACTTCTAAAACTCGATCTTTGATATAGCCTTTAGTTCTTTCAGCGATGCGCTTTTAATGTCATCTATGCTTGCAAAACGACGGCCCTTTAAGGTTCTCTTTATTTTTGGGAAAAAGTCAGACAGAGGCATGTCTGGCGAATATGGAGGCTGGGGCATCATTACAGTATTGTTTTTGGCCAAAAATGTTGTTCAAAATTTAACAATTTTGGAACAAATTTTGCTGCCACGCGTTTCATACCCAAAACATTTGAAAAAATTTCATGGGATGAGCCAATCGATATACCAACATCATCAGCGACTTCTCTGATGGTTTATAACCATTTCTTCCACTTTTTCCATGTTTGTTAATGTGCTTGAGCGTTCGGGGCGTTCGTCATCTTCAACGTCTTCACGGCCATCTTGGAAACTCTTATACCACTGGTAAACTCTTGTTTTACTTATAGCAGACTCACTATAGGCCTTTGTTAACATTTCACAGAATTTATTTTATTTTTTAAGCAAAATTGGATACAAATTCTCTTTGATCCATTTCTTTTAACGAACGAAAATCGCCGAGCTCATAAAACACGTCTAACCTTAGCGGCTGCCACAGACAAAGTAAACAATGAAAACAGCTAAAGTTTTTATCATAATTCGGGGGCATGTGAGATATTTTAAAGTTTCAAGTTAAATGACTCACCCTGTATATTAAAAATTGTCTTTTTCTGTCGTGTCTTTGCCGGATTGTGTCGTGTCGTTGGATAATGTGAATCACCATGTTTACAAGAGTTGTAGGAGTGATTTACATTGGAATATCATTGGACAAAAAATCACATTTAATATTTTTTATTTAAAATAAACCTAAATACATGTATTCCATGCATGGAAGTGTAAGTAAGTGTAAGCATTTCAATGTAGCAAATTTGTGAGTAATACCAGGGTCGTGCGCGTGGTTTTTTCGTGGGAGTTTATACATTTTTAAGTGCAATCTTTATGCAAACGGTTATTTACTTTAAAAAAATAATACAACTTTAAGACCATTATTACAAAAAACAATAAACGATTTGGAAAAATGGGCAATAAGCGATCATTTCTACCAAAACTAAATTAATACAAACAATTAATCTATCTCTAAACGGGCACGCTATAAAACAAGTTAATAAAATAAAGTTTTTAGAAAAGATATTAGACACAAAATTAACTTGGACAGAACATGTTAAACATCTACAAATCCTGTAAAATAGACCTAAATAGTATTTAGTAAATACGAAGCAAAATAGATTACGGTTGCAAAAAAGAAACATTGTAATTGCATAGTTGAGAGTAGAGATTTAAAGGTTCGGAAAAAAACAGGAAAAATTGGAAAAAAACAGTGTTTCTTTCCGTTTTTTTCCCGAGCCTTGGAAAAATTGAAAAACGGAAAAATTGAAAAAATATTTAAAAAAAAATCGAAAATATAAAAAGTATTTTGATTTGATATAATTTATGTATTAATGAGTGGAAATTAAATAAATATATTTTTGCAGTAGTACAGAAGTCTGTGCTTTGAGCAAAAAGCATACCATTGTGTATTGTGGGTACAATAAAAAAAGTATATTTAATACAAGATAAATGTTTTTATGCTTACCGTAACGCTGTAAACGAACGACGATCGGTCTGACGTGTCGGTTCCTAATCAGCTGATCGGGCAGGGTTGCCATTGTGATGTTAAAATTATTGAATATGCTACTAACTCCTGGGTATTGGTATTTTGAATAGTTACCTATACAACAATGATTTTAATGTGAATTACGGCCGTCGGCAACTAGGCAACTAGGATTTTTTCATCGTTAAAAAGCATGACCCTACAGGTGCCTCCCCCGGGGGGCGCCTATACATAACGGGAATTTTTTAATCAAAATAATTTATAAATATTATAAAAAATATTTAAAATATTTTTAAACATTTTTTTTAGTTTTTAAGAAAATATCAATTTTTCCCAAAATTTCCGTTTTTTCCCAATTTTTCCAGGAAAAAAACAGGGTTTTTTTCCGACACTCAATTTTTCCGGAAATTTTGAATCTCTAGTTGAGAGCCTATACTAAATTTCAAACCAAAAACCATTCGAACTACAAAGACTATAGCTCACTGATAACTACATCGCCAAACTTTTAAAAAGTTTCCTTAACCAACATCGCTATCACAAATTAAAAATTCAATGCTTCCCATACATAAAAAAAATTTGTTCCGATTCTGGAATCTTGAATAATACTTTCCAATTTAAAATGCCCTACCATCCACCATGGCTGGTAGAAAAACCAAATGCACACATTATAATACGTTTAATTAAATATCTGTTTAATTACATAAATTATTTATGATAAATACCTACTTTGTCCGGATCATAAAGCGATTTCAAATATTAAATTAAACACATACATTAATTTTCAAATAATATTAACTAACACCCCGAAGTTCCAAAAAGTCCCTGCATGTCAGGTCCAAATGAAGAAATACACTCACAGGCAAAATAATCGATCCACACAAATTTTCGATGAATTTCAATCGCAAATAACTTTTTTATTTGATTTCGGATTTAAACAAATATTAAAGAATATTGTAGATACATTAATGGAGAATCGCTCACATTACTAAAAAATACATGTACGTTTATAATATACAGGTTTAAACAAAAATATGTTTTTTACCATAAGTTTAAGACACTCTGTAGGGTGGCAAAACCGTATATTATTTTAAATTAAGTTTTATTTATCAAGTCACATCTATTCTTAACAGTTTGTTTTTGGTTTACCTCGATATATTTATTTTTGTGGAAAATATGGATATTTTAAAAAAACATTGCAATTTCCAATGTTTTTCTTTATGAAAAACTAAGGTTGCTATGGTCCATCCATAGCCTATGGAGGATGACAGTGACAGTTTTGTTAAATCATCTCATACTTGGACATGTCATACACGGCTTTCAAAAGCTATCAAATTGTTTTTTGCAAATTAATGTTTAAATTTTAAGGTGTCTTCTTACTTTAAAAAATGGATATGTCTCCGACTGATGTTGCCAGAGCCATTAATTTAATCCAGGATGGACGGTCACAGTATTACGTGGCAAGTGTTTTAAACGTCACAAGAAGTAAAGTACAAAGGGCAACATCAGTCGGAGACATTTTTAAAAGTAAGAAGACACCTTAAAATGAACACATTAATTAAAAAAAAAAATTGATAGCTTTTGAAAGCTGTATATGACATGTCCAAGTATGGGATGATTCAACAAAACTGTCACTGTCATCCTCCATAGGCTATGGATGGACCATAGCAACCTTAGTTCTTCATACAGGAAAAATATTGGAAATTGCAATGTTTTTTTTTTTAAAATCCATATTTTCCACAAAATAAATATATCAAGGTGAACCAAAAACAAAACTGTTAAGAATAGATGTGACTTGATAAATAAAACTTAATTTAAAATAATATACGGTTTTGCCAGTAAGTAAACTTACTTGTATTTTTTAGTAATTTTTAAAATGTGAAATATTTGTTTAAATCCGAAATCAAATAAAAAAGTTATTTGCGATTGAAATTCATCGAAAATTTGTGTGGATCGATTATTTTGCCTGTGAGTGTATGATAGGAAGGGTGGAAAAGGAAAACGATATATAATAAAGTATACAAAGAGATTTGCCCCGGTGCAAAACAAGCCTTGTTGAACAAGGTGGTCCATGTTAAAAACGGGTTATCACGGATTACCGATGGATCCCGGGACAAAATTCAAAAAGTACCTTTAAGATCCATCTACCATTTAATAATTTAATATTTATATTTTTAAGAATAACTCGTGTTCCTAAAAAAATAATTAATTAATTTAAAAAAAAATTAAATCATTAGGTAAAGATTTTATCAAAAAAGTACACACAGATAATCTATAATACTTTTAGTTGCTAGCCAATTGCGATTTATAAATCTACGTACCGTCATGACGCGTCATAACAATTTTATTTTTTTTTATAGATAATCACGTTTTGATGGTACAAAGAATGATTGGATCTTCCCAACTGGGTACCGGAGGTTCATCTGGATACCAATACTTAAGATCCACATTGAGGTAAAGTTGTAATCTTTCAATAACTTTGTATTGATTTTGTTTTTTTCAGTGATCGTTACAAAGTGTTCGTGGACCTCTTTAACCTATCGACATTCTTGATACCAAGAAAATACATTCCACCTCTAAGTTCTTTCATGAAAAGTCATCTTTGTCTAATTTGGGGAACCAGAGACCAAAACGGCAGTGCCAATGGAGAATCCTCCTCCAACACTAACAAAACCGAATAAATATTAAGATCTTTTATCTTTTATTCTAATTTAAATAAAATTGATTTAAATTTGAATGCAAGCAACACCAGCGCCATCTATTGATTCCTCTAGCGGGTAGAACACAAACTACAAGTTTCAAAGGGGCACTGATAAATGTCGATCATGATACAACATGGAACATGGTGTCGTCTTTATTTATGGTAATGTTTTGGATTTTATTATAAAATAAATTTATGTTCAAACAGTACTCATTAAATGTGTTTAATTGTTAAAATTGTATTTTGTTTAAAAAACCACCTCAATTTTTAAGATGGTATTTCTATAGTAGCCTACAGTTGTATTTAAAAAGTTCTGGCATTAGAATATAGATGGCGTCAGTATATATTTTATATAATATAAATATATTATATTTATATATAATCTTATTTATATTATCTCTTCATAAAACAAATATTCGTCTTTAGTTTAACTTCTTTAAATTTTAAGTCATTGCCTTCCTTTAAAACATTTTACCTCATTAGAAATTAAGGAAGAAAAAAACCTACCTAAATTATGGAATTAATCCAATATATATAATCAACATTTGAAATTTCAAAAATCGGTAAGATTTTCAAAAAAGTCGACATTTTAATTTTTAAAAATTGACAGTTCTAACAGCCGCTATGAGAAAATGTAAAAAAAAATTCTGGGTTGTAGTCGTCCACTTAAAAGACATCTACAGAAAGATTTACTGTCTGGTTTTCGAGTAAAAAAATATTAAAGCTGATTGGACTACATGTACTGTTATCGCTGTATCCAGTCTCATGTACTTATGCCTTTAGAAGTTCCATACAAATTTTTATTAAATTTTACCGCAGTTTTGCAACTTAACTTAAGATGGTATTTCTATAGTATCCTGTAGTTGTATTTGGAAAGTAATTGCCTTAGAATATAGATGGAGTTAAGTATATTAAAATGCACATACTGGAAGTATGTGTTAAAATGAAATTTCCACACCAGTAGGTACTTTTTAACCAATCAAAAAGGGTTTTTTGACAGGTCACCACGGCAACACATGTATTTTTGAGGATTTTTTTTCGCTTGAGTAGGTACCTGACCGACAGCGAATTAAATAGGACATTTTGTGACATAATCACGTAGGTAATAATTTTTTTACAATATTACAATTACAATATTTTGATACATTTCAATTACATATTTAAGATTTTTTCTGTATGAAAAAAAAGCTGGGGTGGGGGGGTCAATGGGGCGGGGTCGGTAGGGTTGTGTTGTTGAGTTTTCTAACAAGGAAGCGTTAAAATTTTGCCTATGATTCATTTTAATCAATTAAATATATATGTCTGATAAAATATATATAATATTTAGACACCTTTTTATTTACAATTTTTCCATTTAGGACTTTCAATTTTTTGTACCACTTGTAGTAAGTTTATGTTAAATTAAAGAATGATCCGTCTGTAAAATTAAAGAATGTAAGTCTTAAAATTGTATTTCCATGCAACTGCAGTCATGGTGGTGTCTTATCAAAGAAAAAAATGGGCATTGTTAAAAGTCAAAAAAAATTAAAATGATTTTATTTTAAACACAATTTGGTGTGGAATTTTATTACCGAATACCTCGCGAGGTTAAATTAAATCCTGAAATTGTTTTGGTATTACTAGTGAAAATAAAATTTTTAGGGGCCTACCTAAATTTATTTCGTCAAAAGTTAAAAAAGTAGAACAGGTTTTGAGATATATTCAATTTTCCATTTAATATGTAATTGACTATATCTCAAAAACTGCTCCACTTTTATAATTTTTGACAGTATTTTCGGATTCAGAGGACAATTTTACACAAGAATTGGCTCTTAAATTTTATGATACCATGGTATTCCATGGTTAACCATGGTAAAAGTAAAAATGCAGCCACTAATAACTATTAAAAAAGTCATTTTTGACTAATTCATTTTTAGAGAGTACAGGAATTTATTCAAGTACCTACTTGTACATATCTAAAAATATGCAAAACTGACGAAAGACAAAAGGTTATTGCATAAGGGTTTATGTTAAAAATCTAAAAAAAACGACCAGAAGAAACAAAAAATAAAAAACCCACAAAATAAAATATACCGAACTAAACCCTTTTATTTTTTATTAGCGTTACTTCGGCCAAACCAAAAGTACCATCACGTAAAATCCCTCACGTTTCTTTTGACCAAACCAAACACACGACCACTTATGTTGTTCGCATGCTAAAAAAACCGGTTCCCGCAAAAAACATAATGGGGCCTTAACGCGCGTGCAAGCGTACGAAAATTTTACCTACATACAAAACGTATGCTCGTATGCCTGTATAATAGTCCGTTGTTGTGTTTTTGTATAGTCATTTGGCAACATAGGGGTCACGCGTATCTATTCGAGACCCTATGAGGGTAAATACCCTTAATAATGACACCAGAGATAACAAATTTATGGGGTGGAAGTGATATTCAATTAGGGGATTAAAATAATGCACTGTTAATCTTATACATTTTACAACTCAAATGGATTTATAACGTATAACGTATGTACGTAGTACTTAAAAGTGTTTATATTAAAAAAACAATCCAACAAAGCAACAACTTATTTTATTATTTGGTTTTTTATTATTTTAACGATTCATTTCTTTTGTATTTTTCATAATTTTATAGGATTTTTATAATGTAGCTTTTACTTTTACCATTAATCTTCCTTAGTAAAAAGACCAGTTCCCAAGCAAATTTATTACTTATTTTATGTAAATATCTAGTTAAATTAACCTTAAAAAATGTGATTAAAGTAAAAAAGTAATACTTACATTAAGTTTTTATACTTAATAATTTTTATAATTTTTTATTTCTTTAATTTTCTGAAGTATGTTTATATGAAGTATGTTTATATGAAGTATGTTTATTAAACGTCATTTTTACAAAAGAAAGGCTTATTCTATTTTAAGGAATTTTTAAAGGTAAATTAATCGTCATAATTTTTACTTTAAAATAAATGTTACTCATAAGTCGTATTTTTACTACATTAAAACCACTTGCAGTAAATAATTCTTTACGTTTAAGGTTTAAAAAAACTAATAATAATACAAAATTACCTTTAGGTAAAAAATAAAATTTTACAAATATTAAAAAAAAATAACATGTTATTATGCATGTAATCTTCAAATCATTACGAAGTTATGCAATATATTTATTTTAAACACTAGAATATTTAATGTATCCACGGTGGTCAAAACTAAAGTATAGGACGAACAAAAATGCCAACCAAAACTGATAGCATAATCTGATTATAGACTCTTTGGGTAACACAAAAATGTATTTATCAACATCCCACCTGATCCTTTATTAAAGTTTTGCATATTTTTAAGTATTTTAAAATTGTTTATGCCATTTCGATAAAATACTCTAGTACCATTATCAAATGTTTTTTAAAATTTGGCAGATACATGACTGAAATATGGATAAATTACATTATAAATACAAAATAATGTAAAATACAGTTTGCAATATCTTATTTATTGTTTTAAGGTACCTAATACAAAACTAATAAATAACTAAAGATTCTTTGAAGCAAAATCGATTACTGCTTGCCCTAAATTTTCAGTAAAACTTTTTCTTGGATTTTACATTGTAATTGTTTTTAAGATGGAAACAGTATTTTTAAATTCTTCAGTCTCTGTACAAACATGCTTCTTACATCTAGCGATATCCCCTAGAAAGGAAGAGCATATCAAAACTTTAGTTCGTTCGTCCGTCCTCTTCCCTTAATAATTTTTTATGCCCTTTAAGTATATCTTGTCATTTTGCAGATAAAGCACATACATTCTTGGACGCCGCGAAATTCTCCAGCAATTTCTAAATTTTGAAAATTTGGCAATTGTGGCTATGAAAAAATACCGTTTTTTACCATATTGAAGTAGGTAATTTTGAATCACTTAAGTTAAAGTGTTCGTTTGAAAAAGTCTGCAGTAATTTTTATATTTTCTCAGAAACCCTAAACTCTGAATTTTTCGATTTTCTTCATGGATTAACTTGAATTTCGGTTTAATTTTCATTTTAAAATACTATTTTTAACTTTATAAAGTATACATTAAATAAACAACTAAAGCAAAATGTCACTTGCGTTATAACGTATAGCAATTTTTTTCATAACCACCTTAATTATTGTTTTACAAAATTTGCAAGTTGTAATTATTTTATAGACAAACTTCCAGTATTTTTTGTTATAAAAAAATATTTAAGATATAAATCTTCTTTTTGTTATTTTTTGTTTTGAGTGGTAAAAAATAATAGGGGACTCAATAAATTAATACTGGGGAGTAAAGTAATTTAAATGATACAAGGTTTATTATTTTGCTTAATTTTATTAAAATTGTACAGGTAGTTTAAGTACAATAATTGCAAAATAATATATAGAAATAGAAAAACAAAAAAGTTTGCAAAACTTTAAAATAGGATCAGCTGGGATTTTGATAAATACATGTTAGTGTTACCAAAAGGTCTATATTCAAAATATGTCATATCAGTTTTGGTTGGCATTTTTGTTCGTCCTATACTTAAGTTTTGACCACTGTGTATCATTTTTATGAATAAGATTAGATGAGTTTTAATTCTAAATGTAATTAGTAATAAAAGTTATATTTACAAATTTTATTTTTTGGCAAACTTTATTACCAACTTTATACCATTTTAAAATATAAATTAAAGAGACAAAGCAAAAATATTAGTGTTAAAGGTTCCTGTCTATGAAGTAATTTTAACGTTATTTTAATATTTAAAAATTTTTTCTGAGGGTTTAGGTTGGCAACGCTGTATGTCTGATAAGTTAAAATATTCCACTCCCAAAAACTGTTATTACAGAAACAATTTAATTAAGGCAGCTAAGGTTTACATGGTTGACAGATGTACATATTTTCAATTCAAAAAAAAAATAGTGATAAAATTTGGTTCCTTATACATTAATAATAATGTATGATTGTAGCTCCTATAAATAATAACTATGTAAGTAAATGCATTTTAAAATCTTATTTTAAATTAGTTAAATCAGCCACTCAAATGTATCCTAATAAAAAAAATATTAGATGAGGTCGCGTGTTGCACCCGCTTTTAACCCTTGACAGCGCAGGCTAGGTCGCGCCCCGATGCGGGCCAGCAAAACAAAACCACCCTTGAACCGTTTAAAAACGTCAATTCCCACCCCGATAATTATAAGGGCGCTTCGAAAAACATTTCCCGTGACTGAGGGTAATCTAGCAGAATAATTTTAAACGACTTTTTGGCAGATTATAATATAT